TGAAGCTACCTTCTTGGATTCTAGAATTCTATATGTTGGTCCATGAAGCTAAAATGACAAAAATGACCCTTAAACTTCTTTATAACTTCAACTATACCATAAAATATCACCTTCCATTTAATACCACTAATACAACATACATACATGAATATAAATACACACACACACATGTGAAATGCCGATGACGCCCCTCCCTTAAGATGAGAAAACCGGGAGAAATTCCCGAGTCTAGAAATCATCCCGATTTCTGAAAAATTCTAAAAATGAAACTGTCATTTCAACTTGATTTAAAATGATTAAAAATACACTTCTAAAATCCTCGGCTCAAAAAATGACCAAAATGCCTCTCGGGGCCAGCATGGCACGCAAAACAAGGCAAGGATTAAAATAATCCAGAAAAATTAAATAAATTCCAGAAAATAGAAAATAGGAAAAATCGGTAACATTACAATTTTAGCTATATAAAAATGTCACTTTAGCTTTTTCAAGAGTCACGACAGCAACTTTCGTTCTCCATAAACAAATTTTTTATATTTTTATTTATCTTTTTCATAACCGCTATATTTTTTTATCTTATATAATGAACACTCACTATATGAATTAAAAAATAGGATTAATATTATAACTTTAAACATTACATTATCCATTATATGGATTTAAAAATAAAAATACTAATATCATAGCTTTAAACAATACATTATTCATTATATGGATTAAAAAAGTTAGGATTAATATTACACAACTTTAAATGATACATCATCCATTATATGGATTAAAAGTTAGGATAGATGATATGCTTGCAACTTTCGAACTCAAATTTAGCGCCTGTTTGATTATGAAACACCTCTTTAGCTTTTGTCATCTACAAAAAAAAAAAAAAAAAAAAAAAAAAAAAAAAAAAAAAAAAAAAAAAAAAAGAAGAAGAATAAATTAAAAGCTGAATATTTAAATGTTTATGAGTTATATTTAAAACAATAAATAACTCACCATATCATCAGTGTTGAAGCCACTGGGGCGATTTATTTCGATGTTAGTCATGCACCCAGAAAATTTGCTGATTTGTTTTCGGATGGTGGAACACCAAAATGTTGTACATAATTTTCAAGGATTTGCTCCCATAACTTTTCTTACTTTGATTCGCCTCCGTATTCGCATTGGAGGAAATGGACATCCACGCCCACCATAAAGCCTTGTTTTCGGCTATGGATCAATTTCGATTTCGAATAATCGGTTGTTGTGTGAAAGGTTGGAAGTTACTTGATCGAGGATTCATGTAATCGGATTGACTTTGAAACTAATAGCTAAGATTGAGAAAATAAAGGATGAAATAACTTGAATGATAAAGAATAAAGATGGGTTAGATGTGATGAATGGTGGTAGGAGTTAGGATATTTATAGAAGAGAAGTGAATTTTTTATTTTTATCTTTTGAAAAAAGTAAAAAAAAAAAAAAAAGACAGAAGATTTTTTTAACCTTTTTTTTATAAAAAAATTATAGCCGTTAAGGCACTGATTCTGTTAGCCAAACAGTGCCTTAACGACCAAATGCACTATTTGCGGTAGAAATTTAAAATTAGCAAGAAAAAGTTTTTAAAAATCAATTTTTAAGGGAAAAAATAAAAAAAAAAAGGTTTTTTAATTTATTTTTCAGCCAAATCAATTTTTTTGGGGGACAAACAGTGCCTAAACAGTATATTTTATATTTAATGAATTTTATTTTATTTTTTAATTTTAAAAATGATCTCAAAATAACCTAATTTTTGGTTTTTTTTCAAAAAAATCATACTGCCAAACAGTGCCACTATTCCTGACTGTCGCAGCCTCGAATTTTTTTTTAAAAAAACTTTGCCCAAAATGACGGCGTTTTGGCAAAAGAAAAGACAAAAAAAAATTAAAAATCCCGATCGGGCTCAAGCTTGCACTTTTTCGCGAGTCAGCTCGCTAGTCGTTGTGGGCCCACTCTATTTCCGCTAGGCCGCTGCAGGTGCTCTATTTGGGCATTTTAAAGTTATTAGTTAATTATCTTTTACTTTACAAAACTATCCTGTAATCCTTTCTTTCCTCTTTATCATATGAGAGTGTATGCATGCATAAATATAAATTAATATTCTGTTATCTTCCCTTAACAATTTTACTGTATGAATCCATAATCCACTTTTCATAAGGGTCCATATAGAGTGTGTGTCTGTACACACACACACACACATATTAAAAAGACCTAGTGACCCTTTTTCTTTTTCTTTTTTCTTTTTTTTTTTTAACAATTGAAAAAAAAAAGAAGAAAAAAATAAATCCATTCACATAAAATTAGTTATTTATTATTATTATTATTATTGTTATTATTATTATTATTTTATATCTATATACAAGCACAAAATATGTGAATTGAGGGAGAGGAAAGACAAGGAAGGTCCATTATTTATTACTGTTGAAGTAACCTTAGATTTTTTATTTTAATTGTGTTCGCTCACAAATGTGATTCTGGAAGTGCGCGGGCATGCCAGAGTCTCGGAATACTCAAGAGAGATTGAACAAAAAATTATTTTTTTTATTTGATGAGGCAATTGTGGAAGGGAAGGAATAAAAAATTCCACACGGGGTTCTTTATGCCTTTAATGAAAAGAATTTTAACGTCTTAGATTGCAATGTAAAGTAAATGTGTGGAATGTAAAGGAAACGAAAGTGCAATACTGAAATGTAAGTGCTGAAAGACAAAGAAATTGAAAGAACTGGACTTGTATTGAACCCATGATCTACATGACTTCTTCCAGCTTTGGTGCGGTGACGCCATGTGTCCCATTTCTTCACCCATGTTCTGCTTACATGATCTTTACTTCTCGCTTTGAATCTAAAGATGCCATGTGTCATTTCTTTGATCCATGATCTACCACTTCTTGGCCCACTTCCCTATATTATAAGAACAAACTATTCACCTAGCAGTTCCGTCATTTGCCAGAGGGACTGATATGTGTCCTTTTTATGTGTTAGACAAGTGTCCCATTAATCCATTCAATAGACTATTATATCAACAACTAACTAACCTATAGTTCTGCTATTAGCCATGTGTCCACTATTTGTAACTTTTCTTAACTTCTTACCTTTGATTGCCAAGTGCGTCCATTATTTTTAACTTTCTGTTATAACAAACGCAATAAACTCAAATTGAACCAAAATTCACGACAGAAAAGAAAACACGTCATATAAAGAATACAAAGATTTATACATGATTCGACTATAGTTTACGTTCACGATTGAGATCCGCCGAAAATTTTTATCATGCCTACAAACAAAGATTAACAAATTTTTAACCTTTTACTCAGTCGTACCACAACCAAGCATGAAAGAATACATATCATCAACTAAAATTCTCATTCCAATTTCCATACCAAGCATGAAAGAATACATATCATCAACTAAAATTCTCATTCCAATTTCCATAGCAGGTAAGTATTTATCTTAATCAAATACTACTAAAGTGGGGTAAGAGATATTATCTCTCTATAATTCAAGTACTCTTTTTCGTCTAAACATTACCGCTTTTATATAACAATAGTAAACACGCATTAGAAACCTAAACCGCATAAGATTTGGAGATGAACAGTACACCACATAGATAAATTATGATTGTAAATAAAAATAAAAATATAAACAAATAAACAACCATCATATGTATATCATATGTATAACATATATATATCATCATACAACTCATGCAGATGTAGTAACTAATAATAATAAAACCAAGATATAAGCAATAGTGGCAACAATATAGAGTTGGGCATAAAAAAAAATTTGAATTTGATCTTGAATTACCATCTTATCTTGTAATTACTTTGATTGACGGACAAGCTTCTAATCTTTGCAATGTCATGTGACATATATATGCTTAATTACAAAACAACAGTTAAATTTCTAACTTTTCACATCTCATCAAAATTATGAACAGTTTGTGATGGAGAGACATGCAACTCAACTGAAATTGATAAAAACGTATAAAGGACGGAAAAAAAAAAAAAAAAAATGCCTCACTTTTAATAGTAGTATATAGATAATAGATATATAGAGAGGGATCAAGAAAATAATTGAAATAGAAGGCTGTTATATATATAAATGAGGGAAGGGCAGTTTGGGAACAACAAAGGGTAAATTTAGAATTAAAGAAATTTTTAGGTCACATGACTTGCACATGACCTCACTATTTCATGCCAAAAGCCCTTATTTGAACACTTTATATATGACAGGAGTGAAATTTGAACCATTTTTTTTTCTTTAATTTTTTTTTTGTGACTTTCTAAAACTGCCGTTTCAAGGCATTGTCGAATATATATATTTGGTTGGAGCTAGATCGATGCTTCTATTAATTATCAAGCATAGGCCCTGATTGATTTCTCATGGTTTTGTTACAGGAGTGAAATTTGAATCATTTTTTTTTTCTTTATTTTATTTTATTTTTTGTAACTTTTTTCAAAGTTTTTTATTTTATTTTTTATTTTGCATTTCACCCTTAAAATAAGTTAGGATGGAGTCGATGGACTTTCTAAAACTGCCGTTTCAAGGCATTGTCGAATATATATATTTGGTTGGAGATAGATCGATGCTTGTATTAATTATCAAGCATCCCCAGGCCCTGATTGATTTCTCATGGTTCTGTTACAAGCCGGTGATTCGAGTTCACCGGAGTTGATTACCGATCACAACGGTCCAGTTTTTAAATTTTAATTTTGCTGTAATAGGGGCAGGGGTCACCTATATTGATCAGTTGGTACGTTTGGCTAACTTACGGACTCCAAGTTCTTATGGCGGAGCTATTAGCCTCTGTTTTAGCAAATGCTGCTTTGTCTGTGGCACATTGGCATAAATTAGCCCTTCTGTTCTTAAACACAAGTCTTCTTGGGCCTTCTACAATCACCATTTATCCTTCTATATATATATATATATATCAGCTTAAAAATTGTATATATTATATAGGCAAGACAAATCGGCAGAAGAAATAGGCATTTTCATATTGCAGCATCTCACTACATCATAGTACCAAAGCAAAAACATATATAAATAATACCAGAAACAAGTGTACATAGATGGATCAGAGCTAGCAAAAACAAATATATCCGTCATATGCCTAAGTGAGTGCGTGGTCTACTATATATACACACAAAAGAGCAGTAACTTTTTAGACCAATACTTGATGCAAAAGGCCTGCAGATTTTTTAATTATTGTAGTCTATGCTAGTTTTGATCCGCTAGGCTAGCAGCTAGCTTGTGTGACCGGCCAGCTTTCAGTACATGTACTGCTTTCTCATGATCAGAACTCACCTGCATGCATTTAAACATTTACAGAATTAATTAATTTCAGTTTCATATATGCAAAAATGTCAGTTTCATCTTATATATATATATATATATATATATATATATATATATGCAATTAGCATGCATCTTCAAAACAAAATAATTGATTTCCTAAATGTTTAATTACAAACATGTACTAATTAAGGCAAAAACTCTATGCATATATCATACTAACAAATTAAGGCGGGTCGGGGAAAGAATAATAAACTTAATTACCGGGTAAAAGTTCATGGTAAGCGTATTCCTTCCCTTTATGAGCTGTAACTTGAAAGTATCTCCTTCTTTTAGGTCATTCGACTTGGCAAACTGTCCCCAACATCCTCTAATATAGAGGCACTGCTTCTTATGTTTCAGTGACATCGACCACGGTCTTCCTTTTGGATCTATAATCACTATCTTGCAGCATTTAATGTCAATTAAACCATTCGACATTGCAAATTTCTTAGGAATACACTGCAACCAAACAGCATACATACATATATACATATGGGCATCAGATACATACATGCATAGACGATGGTTCATGCACTCTAGCAGTCCTCATGAACTGATAAGAATAGTCATCATTTAAATTTTAAATAATTTGATCGATTAGTAGGACTCACCAATGTAGACCACTTAAGACTATTTCTGCTAAAAGTGGCAACGAAATACGGTCCAGTACTTGATACCAAATTTGATCTGGGGGATGTACCTTGCAATCCTTCAAAAATAAACATTAATAATAATAATAATACTAATAATAATAATAATAATTAAAAAAAGTAAGCAACTAAGAAATTAATATATCCAACTATGCAAAACTTACTATGGAAGTACATAATAGGCACTTTTCCATTCTTACTCAGCTCAAACCTGAATGTGTCTCCTTCCTTTAGGCCATTTTCAATGCAGAAATCACGCCAACCACGTCTAAGGTAAACGTGAGTACCATCGTTTTTTTTGCTCTGCAGGCTTACCTTCCATGACCTTTGTTGAGATCTGAGTATCATCTCGCAACTTCGATTTATTAGGCCATTCTGCTTTGCAAAGTCCATAGGAATATACTAACAACAGAGAATCATATCAATTGGCATGCAAACTTAAACCATGAATATATGTCCACGAGCTTAATTATCAAACATAGAAGGAATTAATACAATCTTAAGAAGAATTAGATACTTTCAAATTACTTCAGACACTTACTAGCATAGAACATTCAAAGCTATATCGCCTCAGGGTGGACACAAAACTAGGATGATCGCCAAGTGCAAAAGGAGAAGCTTCTGCTTTGGGACGAGCCATGGACGAATCATTAAAAATCTTTTCTGACCCTAAATGACATGTTCATCAAATATGAAAGCAAAATTAATAATAGGACACAATTACATTTTTCTATAATCCTTACTAGCTACTTGAAGCATATCTGACATCAATTTTTTTTTTTTGGGAAGTAGAGCATACCTAATCATCTTGATCTTTGTGAGAGAAATATAATGGGATAATAAGTTGGGGAAACAAATTAAAACTGCACAACACTTTTCCAAATTTCTGTATTCCATTTCAAATTATCAAAACAAAGAGTCAATAATTGTTTAATTGGAAGCTCAATGTATGCCTATTTTCAAATCCATGCATAATGTAACCCTGCACCTGACCATTGCTAGTTTAAACTTAACTATAATTGTATATAATTACCAGGCCTCAAATTCTGAGACATACTTCTTACGCACAAAGCCACAATTCAACCCGACAAACCTTGAATGAATTTGCATCAATATTTATAAATAAAAGCCACAACTGTTTGTGTTAGCATGTTACTTCTTTGCAACTTTTGAAGTCGCTAGTTTCTGTTCTAGCCTTACGTTGTTTTTTTCCCCCCAGTAAATCTAGCCTTACTTTGTTGCTCTGAGATTTGCTTGTTTGATGCTCTTTGCCCAGTTCTCCGAGCTTCTGTTACATTCTCCATTTCTTTCAATAAAGTTACAATTATCAGGAAAAAAAAGAGAGTACAAAAGCCCCTCTCTGTCTTATAAAGAATGTTTTGGGCAGTCACAACCATCCAAAAAAGCTCTATATATACATTTTTACACATCAGAAAATGGCATGCATAACCTAATTACTTGATTGGTTTAATGTCATACCAGTTACTTATTCTACGTTGAGCATTTGCATTATAGATTACTGTCGAATAGTATAAAACAACAATAAGAATTAATGCTTATCCCCCCTCCCAAAAAATAAATAAATAAGAATATCGATCTATTTAATTATGCTACATAGAAAGGTAAATTATATACCAGTGTCAAAAGTGGTTAGGAAGTCAATCTATAAAAAGCATAGGGCAAATAATCTTACCACATGATGCATGCATTAATAAGAAAAAGCATCAAATACTTGATTAATTAGGAACAAGTAACAAGAAGGTATCAAAAAAATGAGATCTCATCTCAAGAAATGAGAACTCTCTCCCTTCCTAAAGCCTCCTTCCAACCTTTTCCCTCAGATTACCCAACCAAGCTCCTCCACCATGATTTCTAATATAAACTGTCCCAATATAAACTGTCCCAACCTCTCGTGGCCAGTTCAAGTTCCCAACCATACTCTTGCAGGCCCCAATATTTTTCTTCCACCTCATGACATGCCACCCTCGCCAAGTTTAGACAATCAAGGTACAAATCTCAACCTTGAAACTATTCCAGAATCCCATGATGATGACAACTGGGAGGCAGCTGAGGTCAAAAGATCTTTAGCTTTGGTAAAGAAAATAGTTGATGAGGCTTCTGCAATGTCTTTGGCAAATGCTAGGATGGAACTGGCTTTAGCTAGAGATAAAATTGCAGAGAACGAGTATGCAGTTAAAATGGCTCCATCTTCTGGTACAATAGAGAGGAATTGCACTGTGGAAACCACTCAAAGGATCTTGATAGTTTCCTTAAACCAGTCAATGTCTGCAATTCTGAAAGGGAGCACAATGCATCTGTTGCCCTTGAAAACCAGCAGCCCCTCAATCATGAAACAACACAAAATCATAACTCCCTTGTTCAAGCCAATGTCATGAAAATGTGGAATTCAATGGGATTGGAAGAGGTGCTAGCTGATGATAATGGTTTCTCCATCTTTAAATTTTCTAATGAGGAAGCCTGTAATAATATCCTCTCTAATGGACCCTGGACAACCATGGGGAGACCCATTATCTGAAAGAAATGGCACAAAAGTATGGAGTTGAATAAAGAATTATGCAACCTCATTCCCCTCTGGATCAATTTTTTTAACATTCCACTGGAATACTTAACAGTTAGGGGGCTTAGTTATATCTCAAGTTCTGTGGGAAGACCTTTTCTTGCTGACAAACTTACTGAAACTAAGAAGAGAACCAGTTTTGCTAGGCTGTGTAGAGGTTGATGCTTCTAAGTTCCTTGTGGAAAGTTTCAAAGTCAAAGTGATCTAGGATAGGTTCATTGTCACACCCTGAATCTAGATGACTCGGTGCATGAGTGAAATGAAGGTGAACCGGACCTGAGTCCACAATGCGGAAGAAAAATCTGACCAGTCAACTTATGTCGTCAACAAGGTCCCCAACCTCACAATGGGTGATAATGTAACGACCCAAACCGGGGGTCCGGATCACTAACCGGGTCCTTAACCAAACCCGAGGACACACCAGGGGTAAAATGGTTATTTTACCTTATGAGTGGGTAATAAGACCTCATACCAGCCTAATGAGGTCTAAAACAATTATTCTAATCATTTCGTGATGCACGGTGAGGTTCTACGGTCATCGGGTAAGAATTCCTAAAAGTACCCTTTCACGGTTCAAGGGAATCCCGACATGGTTCCACTAAAAAACCCACAACTCTCAACATGAGTGGAATTTGGAGATGAATTTGGTACCATTGGAAATATAACTCAAAATTCTTGAAAATGGGCTCAAGAATGACCTCGTTTGGGTTTAGAACAAAGAAGTTATGACTATCCGAAGTTGAGTGATCAAAACTGATAAGCTGCCAAAACAATTTGTGCCTACTGGAGGACTTGAACCGGTTCAAGAATCTTGAACCGGTTCAAGAATCTTGAACCGGTTCAAGATGGACAGTAAGCCCATACGTGAACCAAAATGCTCCCTTGAACGAATTCAAAGATGTTGAACCAGTTCAACATGCCCAGAACCTAAAATTTTTGTCCGGAAGGTCTAAAAACTGTGCACTTGAACATGGGAACCCCCTTTGGTCCCTTGGTGACCGTAATCAAGTCTAAACCTGTCCCAAATCATGCAAAACCATTGAAATACAAATTTTGATCTCCATTTAAGAACGATAGCAACATAATCATACATAGTTCTCCATGGTCTTTTACAAAAGAGCAAAAATTCCATATAATTACAGTCCAAAGTTTGCATTTGTTGTAACAACATTACACCGCAATACTTGATCTTTACAAAAGAGCCTAGATCTTAGTTTTGTAAAAAAGCAACAAAATGGTGGTTCCAATACAGTCTAGAGTTGTGGAGGATTGTTATCTGCCAATTCTTTTTCCGAACCTGAAGAATGTTAAATAAAGGGGTGAGCTAAACGCTCTGTAGGAAGTGTCGAAGACACACTTCTTGTGACCCCGTGAACCCATACCAAGCATAGAAAAAAAAACAAGAGAGAGGGGTCATGCTCATTCGGAAGGGAAAACATAACAATAAATCCAACAACACATCAATATCCTCCTCAAGCCATGCCATGCTATGTAATGTAATGGTATGCAATGTCACTCCCCATTTTGAAACCATTATCCATCATTGTTTCCAACCGTTAATGTAACCCGACCCATAGCGTCTCTATGGCGTCATGAGGGAGGAGTTGGCCCGTAATCCTCGACCACATGGCACCTCTATGGCGTCGTCTAGGCCTAGGTAGCTCAACCACACTAGGGTCTCTCCCTAGCTCCTTCTAGATCACATTAACACTCTGGACCACTAGGCGCCTCCTAGGCGTCCGGGTTTTTCGCAAAATTCTATCAAAACATTTTCCTAAAACAATTTCATTTGCTTTCAAAACATTTTTCCCCTTTTTCTTTCCCAATGATAATGTATGAATTATGCAACTCCTTCAATACGATGACAATATAGAAATCCCATTCAATTCAACCTCACAATATGGCATGCTTAACAAGAAATTTCTAATAAAATAAAACATGCTTACTAACACTCAAACTTTAACAACTAAGCAAATGAAATTGAAAAAAACAACTATTTAAGCATGATTTTCAATTAAATCCAACAACTACAACTCAAGAATCACTTCTACATGAAAAGTACACATGGATACACAAAGTTTATATAAATATTATAGCAATTACTCAAGGAACTACCTAATTTAGCATGTTATACATCAAATTTAAGAAGTTAGGTCACAAAAATCAAAGATTGAGTGGATTAGAACACCCCTACCTCAAAGTGATTAGCCAAACAAAGCCTAGGGCTAAGCCAAATTTTGATCTCTCCCAAACCCTAGCAATATGGGTGCCAAATGGAAGCCCTTCTCAAGCTCCTTAATAATCTCCTCTCAATTTTCCTTAAAGCTCACTCCAAACACCTCAAATCAAAGCTTGAATTTGTATAGGCATAAATATGATACATATATGTGGAATATAGAGAGAGGAAAGTGAAAAGCAAAGAGGAGGAAGGGGATACCCGAAAATGGAAGAGAAGGGGAAAAAAAATTGGTCTTGCACTTGGTCAAATGGTCCTCATGGTGCCACTTGTCAAACAAGAAATGGTTTCAAATTTTGGTGAAATTCCAATCTTACCATTGCTTATTCCATTTAATGCCTCCTCTATCCTCCAAAATATCTTCCCAATTATGTAAATATATCAATATAAACATATGAGTGAAATGTCTATAATGCCCCTCATTTAAAATGAGAAAAACCGGGAAGTTCCCAAACTGGAAAATTGTTCCGTCGAAAAAAATTTTAGAATGACGCCACCACTCTTAAATGACGTAAAATGATATAAAAAAAATCACTAGAACCCTCGGCTCAAGAAAATGACTAAAATGCCCTTCGGCGCCAACGTGACACACAAAACGAGAAAAGATGAAAATGCCCTTTCAAAAACAGAAAAACCCAAAAATAGAAAATGACGAAATTCAGGAACATTACATTCTCCCCAACTTAAAAAGGATTTCGTCCCCGAAATCAAGCCATACCTGGGGAAGAAAACAACTCTGGGTACTTGGAGCGAACCTCTGAATCAAGCTCCCAAGCAGCCTCCTCAGCCCCGTGATGTCTCCAAAGAACTTTCACTAGCGATATCGCCTTATCTCATAACACCTTCTGTCGTGTGTCAAGGATCTGGATTGGTCCTTCCTCGTAGGAAACATCCTCATCAATATCCACATCAACCTAACTCAAAATGTGAAACAAATCTGGTTCATATTTCCATAGCA